AAATCCAAACACCCCTTCTCTGCCTTGCCAGCACTGACAGCCACCCATCATGCAGCAGGGGAGTGTGCGCCATTTGCCCCCGAGCACTGAGCTACTAGACATGGCCTCTTGCTGCAGTCGACTGCTGCCATTACAAAGGCTGCTGCAGAGCTCTATTAACTTGTCCCAAGTTTGTCAGCCAAGCCCTGGGCCAGAGCTGGGCTGAGGTGCTCCAGCGCACGGTGCACTGCAGTGCTCAGCTGGGATGAGACGCCAGCAGAGCATCGGCCTTTCGTAATGACTTAAGCATGTTACGGTATTTTTTTCCCCTTTGCAGTTCGCACAGAAGATGATGGACCTCAGTTTGCCAGCCAACTGCCTTCCCTTCATTGTCTGAACCACTGACTGACTGATGTGGGTTTTTTATTATTATAATTATTATTATTATTTGTGTGTGTGGCTGTTAGGAAATAAAGGTTGATCCTGCAGCAAGACAAACAGCTCGGGGGGAGGCGAGGAGGAGGCTGAGGAGCAATACACCCCTGTAAAGTATGTGCCTTGCAACACTATGGAAAAGCTTTGCCCTTTGCCACGTAGTCAGCATGAGCTGCACAGGCCCCCCATCCCCTCAGCGCTCGCACTGCTGGGAAGCAGTCGGGCTCGGCGAGGGGTTTGGCTGCACTCCTTGCACCAGTTCTGTTTTCCTGGCCCTGGCCCCACCTGACTGTGGGCCAGCTCACACAATAGTCAAAAATAAAAACCCCAGCAGTGCCCCAGCCAGAGGCACGCAGCTCCCCTGCAGCCCCAGGCAGGGGCAGCTGGCTGCCCTGGGTGGGGGCGTTTGCTCATGGGGAGCTGGGGAGCAGACCCAGCAGTGGTGGCTGAGCTTGACACAGCCCAGCACATTGGAAAGGGCTGCTGCTGGGGGCTGCCGCGACACTGCATCCTCAGCCAGCACCCATGGGTTCCAGTGGTGGAGAGCACCTCTAGTCCGGTGTAGTTCTGTCATCTCTGTCCCTAGCACTGAAGGCAATAAAATGGTTCTTCTATTTATTATTATTTTGCTTGTTAATACTGTTTTTCTTAAGCAAATGACTAGGTCAGTGCCATCTCCGTTGTCTCTTGGGCTGCAGCATGGCTCTGCTCAGCACAGCATTGGCATTGCCAAAGGCACTTGCACCCAGACTGCCCCCCCCCAGCTCCTGGGGAGGGGGCAACCTGCATGAGCTGCTTATCCGGACCCTGGGGAAGAGGAGAGCATGGGGTGACCCATGGTGACCTGAGGGCAACCATAGGCATGACAGAGCCAAGCGCTTCTCAGGGTTGGACGCCCTGCCCTGGTGCCAGGCCCAAGCAGCCTATAGCCCCCCCAGAGGTACCCCTCCAGCCAGCATGCCTTGTTGCCACTTGGTGTGTAAACTGGCACTCCCCGAACAAACCAGAACCCACCCAAAAAAAACCCCGTGCATTTCCCTGCACCCAGAGGGTAAATCAGACCTAAAGAAAGCCCCAAACAGCTGCAAAGGTACTTGATCTTTTATTATTGACAGCAGGTAAATACAAGATGCTGCCAGGCAGGAGGGCAGGGGCTGTGCCTCTGCAAGGGGCTCCCGATGGCCAACAGCTGGGACCAGGGCAAGCAACAGCAGTGAGAGGGCACATGGGCTGAGACCCTGTGGGAGATGGAGCGGCAGTGGGATGGGGAGTGAGGGCTCCCCCACTCTGCAGCTCCCTGCCCAGGCAGCCCAGCACCTGGCCGAGCAGAGACTTCGCCCAGCAAATGCCAAAGAAGGGGACTATTTTGAGTTACAAAATGAACAAACAAAAGCCATCTACACGTATTTACAGTGTCCCTCTCCCACCGCCAGCTCGCTCCAGACATGAGTCAGGGCTCAGGGTGCGCCCTGCCCCCCTAGAGAAGTTGCAAAGGGCAGAGCCCCGGCCGGAAGGGACAGTCCTCAGCGTAAGTGCCAGCACCAGGGGCTGCTGGAGCTGTGCTCGCAGCCCCATTGTACAGCAGGATCCCCAAAGGTCTGGGAAGATGGTCCCAAGGGACAGGACATTCCCATGGGACGTGCACTTCCTCCACCAAGTCTCTTGCTGATAATCTTTAGCTAAAAACCTCATCAGGAGGACCACGTCTGGACCTCCTTCGCGTGGGAAGGAAAAGCAGAAGCAAGGTTACAGCAAAGACGAAGGGCGTGGTTCTGGCCTGGGGATCGGTCTACAATCCGCCATAAAAAAACAGCTTGAAACAAAACCCATCATTTACTCTTTGATTTGTACAAAATAACAATAATAACAATAAAAATAATAATAAAAGGTGCTGGTGGCCTCTGGCTCGCAGTGCCCCACTGTGGCGGGGGGTCTCAGTAGGCAAAGATGACATGGTAGGTGACTTGGTGCCCATTGTCCCAGGCGTAGAGCAGGCGGTCCTTGGGGTTATAGTCTATCTGTGTGGTGTAGGCGTACTCATTCTCAAAGAGCAACCGGGGGATGATCTGCGTGTTGGTGTGCGTGTCAAAGGCATAGGAGATGTTGGCATTCCTCTTGTTGTAGCTGTCGACTGCGTACAGGACCCCGCAGATGACAAAACAGTTCCCATAGAAGTTCTTCCGCAGCCCCGTCCGCCACGTGGTCTCCTTCTGGGTGCTGAGGTCAGCCGCATTCAGCTTGCTCAGCACGATCACCTCCTGGTTGAAGCCTTCGTAGCTGATGGCCGGGTAGATGACCCACAGGCCGTTCTCATCCACGGCAAAGTCAACGTCCGAGTGGCCCCGCCACCGCCACGGGGTGGACTCCTCGTAGGCCACGTCATGCAGCATGGCCCAGGCGGCCACATACCGCTGCTTCAGGTCATATTTGATGATGTTGCGCGTGAAGGCCCGGTTGTAGTAGAAGGAGCCGTTGTAGACAACGTGCCCCGTCCCAATCCAGCTGTACGGGAGCTTGTAGGAATTGCTCCAGCGCCCTGCGGGGCAGAGACACCTTGCTGACGAGACCCTCCCTTTTACTTTGGGGTTGGCGGCCCCGCCACAGCAGCCCCCAGCACCCTCTGCCCCCCACACTGCCTGCACTCCCTCCCAGCCACCAGCTGCAGCCTGGCATGGTGACAAGCAAGTACAGGTCACCACGGGCAGCCCGACCTGCCCCATGCTCTGAACTCCACATGCTGGGTACCAGTGCCCAAGAGGAGAGGGTCCCCGGGCAGAGCATCCCCCCATGGTGCAGCATCCCAGGGAACGGGGACACTACTTGGACCAGCCGAGCAGCGGCTGGCGCAGCATCGAGGATGGCGCAAGCCCACCTTGCTTGAAGTTGTCGAGGTTCCTGAACTCCACCAGCGTGTTCCCATAGTAGTAGTTGGTGACATAGATCCGCTCCTCCCGGGCCAGGGGGTCCTTCATCCAGGCACCCTCATTGCGCCCGTAGGTGTTCTGGGTGGTAGGCCCCGAGATGGTGGACAGCGTGTCCTTGCAGCGCCCTGCGTGAGCAGAGAGAGGCTCGTGAGGCCTGAGGCAGGGCAGCCACACTCTCTCCGTTCCTGCCGGGGGTCTGCGGGCATCAACCCCCCTCCAACTCCTTGCCCACCCAGCAGGTACCCCCGCTGCCTCAGCCTAGGCTCAGCCTCACAAGCCCCAGCAGCACCAGCCGGATCCTGCAAAGGGCTCCCCATGGCCTCAGCCATGTCCCTGCCCTGACCGAGACCTGTCCCAGGTCTGTCTCCAGGGAGGCCTCTTCCTGCCCTGCTCCACCCCTCAAACTCGAAGGGGACTACAGTAGGTTCCAGAGTTAACAAGCAAGTAAAATCTGGTGCCCCAGTAAAGCACTTGTCCAGCCATCATCTCCACAACACCTCCCACCTGTGACCAAATCCAGCTGTGCTGTGTTTAGCAGGACACGCCATGGGCACAAGCCAGCCCCCATGCGCACAGCTGGATCGGTGCAAGACCTGTAGGCACTCACCGATGATGTTCCTGATGTCCTCTTCCTCCAGGGCCTGCTTCGGTGTGGCAGGGATGGTGGGGCTGACCGGCGCTGCAGGGGTGCTCACCTGTCCCCAAGCTCCTGGGCTGCTCTCCAGTGCAGGGCTCGTCCCCACGTCACTCGAGGTCCCGGCAGTGGTGGCCATGGCAGGGCTGGGGACAGGGCTGGTGGCTGCGGGCAGGGTCTCCGTGGCTGTGGCCACCACTGTGCTGGCCAAGGCTGCTGGTAGCTGTGGGGTCCCCTCCTCTACCAGCCCCGCCGGGGCAGGCGTCGTCTCCGGGGGGGGGGGC